GAAGGGTGGGTGGGGGGTCTTCAGAGGGGGTTCATCTGGACAACCGAGTGGCTGAGTACTGTGGGTGACTGCCATCCGTCTAGTATCCCACCTCTACAACAACCTGGGCTTTTTAGAGAAAAAAAAGAAAAAAAAGAAAAGGAAAAAAAAGAGTCTATGGGTCGTAGATTTCGGCCAGTCTGAGAGGAAAGTTCTACCAGCTTCCCCCCGAATAGCTGTACTTGGGGCAACTTTCAGTCTAGATACAGCCGTAATGATTCTTCGGCGGGAGAGGGTACTAGGGTCAAAGGTCAGCCTGAGGGCCTTGAAACCATTCTAAGGAAGTCCTTAAGTCTGTAGGCCTGGGCCCTGGGGTCCAAGGGTAAAATAAATGAAGGTGCCGAGGGCCTCCAGGAGTCAAGGTAGCCCCCAGGAATATTAATTAACAATGAAGTCCAGATAGGCCCTAGCAAAACCGACAATCAGGCCCTGCTCGAAGACAAAAGTCAAACTTAAGAGTCAAAGGGCTCTCAGGAGTCAGGAGTGTGCCCCAGCCGCAGATCACACACAATCCAAAGGCTCCGCAGCAGTTTCCAGAAGGCTTCCCTCAAGTTCCCTGGGCTCACTTGGTCAAGAAGGCACACATTCAAGTTCCAAATGGCCACAACAAATTCTAAGACTTAGTGGTACAGAATCTACAGATCACACAGTGGATAAATCTCAGCCATCCGAGGACGCGAGTCAACCTGAGGCAGTCCAAGCCCAGTCAACAGTACAAAATCTGAATCTGACCCTCTCACAGCTCGTCCGTTCATTCTGCCTTGCACCCTCTGGACTGACTGCTGCTGAGACCCAGTCCACTAGCACTGTGCAGTCACAGAGACAGACACAGAGAGAGAGAGAGAGAGAGAGAGAGAGAGAGAGAGAGAGAGAGAGAGAGAGAGAGAGAGAGAGAGAGAGAGAGGACTCGCGAACCGCTTGTATTTTACTCGTGTTAAGTCATGGACTGGTTTCTTCAGCCCTTCTTTTTTTATGTGTAGGTGCTTTACACGATTAACAGAAAACCCCACTTGTTAAATATTACGGAGGTTTAGTCAGTACAATGCCTATCTTCTCGCCACAGAGAGAGAGAGAGAGAGAGAGAGAGAGAGAGAGAGAGAGA